TACATAAAATAGATAATCTATGATTTTTGTTCTTCTGCAGATTCAACCTTATGAAGCAATTTCTTTTTGTTGTGGTGACCTGCACTACTTGAGAATTTACCTACCTGCAGTTATCTTCAGGTCCTAGAAACTATATTTTTTCATGTCCATTTTCATGGGCTAGAGGATTTTTTAAATATGAGGTTATTGTGGTTTTTCTCTTTATGCACAAATAGGCCTCCCATCGTCACATTGGAACCTGTGGTAAATCCAAAGGAAAGATTAACTTAAGCAGAATGAGAATTACCACAGTACTTTTTATCTTTAGGATAAAAACTGAAAATTATATGTTTGAAAAAGTTTCAGTATGAATCAGAGCCAGGAATTGAATTAATAAATAAGTAGATGTGCTTAAATAATTACTTGTAAAAGAAGTTGAGATTTTTCAGACAGAAAGGTTATCTTACCAAGTAGCTGATTATGTTTTTCTCAACTAAACATTGAATGTATTTATTTTTTCAGAGACATTAAACCTGACAATATATTGATGGATGTGAATGGACATATTCGGTTAGCAGATTTTGGTTCTTGTCTGAAGCTGATGGAAGATGGAACGGTAAATAAAGAAAAATTCTAAATTATTTTGTTCATAGACAGTTTTCTTGTTATTTGTTTTCTACATCTGTCTTAGGAACCGTTGATTACATCTATCCATCCATCCATCCATATATCTACCAGTGCTCCACCTCCTTCCACAAAGGCATTTGGGCATACTTGTAAGAGGGTTTGTCTATAAAGTCATGAGCCATTTCAGCTGTTTATAGTAAATATCTTAAGATTGATACAATTACTTTTTATCAGACCCTTGTTTGCTGCTGCTTTAGCTGGCAACTATCATTGTACTTGAGATATTTTTAAGTTTCCAGAAGAATAAAGAAAATAATTCTTACATGGAAAAAGCAAATGGAACTCTGTTCTCACTTTCATTTCTTCTGTATTTTTTCCCCTAATTACACAGTTACTCTGAAGGACAGTGTTCAACAAATGAATCTTTTTTTCAGAAAGTCCTCTAGCTTGATTTAGTTTCATGTTCCCATTTGCTTATCTTCTGCTAACCCTAAACACCTCAGTTGTTTTCTTTCATTTACTTGAACATTTATATGCCTAATTTTGTTCTGTTATTTTAAAACTTCATTTTCCTAGCAGCATAGCAGAGGTCCAAATAAATATCATTTTAATTGGCAGAACCTTTTGGAGAATAATTTAGTATAACACATTCTAAAAGGCATGAAAATGTCACATTGCTCTTTAGTTATTTGACTTCTGAAAATTTATCTTACAAAGGTAACTTCTTTAAAAAGGATTATGCAACCTCTGTTTCTGGCCATGATGGATGGAATAATTGTTACCAAATTAACATTCCCACTGTGGACAACTGTAAAACTTGATACAGTGTTTGGGAGAAATGTTTTTAGGCAGGGGACAGCAGGCAGCATAAAACTATTGTCCCTGACAAATAATCTCACAAAGTGTGTCTCTCAATTGCTTAAGATTGGGACAGTTGCTGACTGTAATGCAGAATGCTACGGTGAGAGCAGAGTATAGTAGTCCTGTAGAGATTGGAAGAAGAGATCAGAATTGGGTTAGCTGTAGCAGCTGGCTTGTGAGGGGCTTTCTTTACATTGGAGAAGAAGGAATTGTGCAGAGGGAGGACATATGTTGGGTAAACATGTATGCTACAAAACCTTATGAGACTTGCCAAATAGAAAGTGAAATTTTGAAAACAGAACAGAATACGAGGAGGCTGAAGGAGAAACAGTGCTTGAGGACATTGAATTTTCAGCCCTAGAGAACCATTGAACACTGTTAATGGTTAATACCTTAACCTAAAACCTACTCTCAACCAGTTTAACAGCCTAAATCCAAACCATGATAATTTGGAAGTCTTTAGGCTTAAGAGAAATCTTAGTCTTTGGGGCTAGAGATAAATCTTAGATTTTGTATAAATCTGTATTCATTGAGTATGATTATAAGCCAACACATGTTCAAGGAGACTAGTCAGTTTTTTTATGTGGTTAACAAGAATTATTCTTCTTAAAGGAAGATAACAGAATCCATGCTCTTTATACTGTGTTATTCATAATGACCAAGATTTAATGAAAAATTACTAGACTGAAAAAAAAAATAGGTATAGGGAATAGTGATACAGATTCAAAAAATAAAAGTCAGTGAAAGTCTGGATAGCACAGATGTTGGATTTAGCAGACAAAGACTTAAAAGAAGCTATCATAAACATGCTTAAAGAAACAAAGGAAAAATATATTCTTAAATATTGTACCAGTAATGTATCTCAGCAGAAAAACGTATCAAATGGACACTTTAGAACTAGAAAGTATAGTAATTGAAATTAAAATTTACTGGATGAGGTTAAAAGTAGACTGGAGATGGAAGAAAGAGCCAGTGAACTTTAAGACAGATCAGTAGATTACCCAATAGGAAGAACAGAGAAAAATTTTGAAGCAAAATAAACAGAGGCTCAGACATCTTTATAATTGGAATCTTAGAACAAGTAAGATAAGGGCAGAAAAAAATTTTTGGAAGTAATGGCTCAGACTTCCCAAATGTAATGAAACATTCAGGTGGAGCATCTTGATACCTTAGCATATCTCAAGACTATGAAAGGAACCATACCTGGCCGTATCACAGTTAAAACTTTAACTGAAAACTAACAGTAAAGACATTTAAAAAGCTGCCAGAAGGAAGAATAGGGGAGAAATGGTAAGACTAAGCAACCTCTCATAAGAAATCATGGACTATCTTTAAAGTGCTGAAAGAAAATAATGTATAAACTGAGAATTCTATATTGAGCAAAAATATCCTTCAAAAATGAGAATGAGACAGGGCGTGATGGATCATGCCTATAATCCTAGCACTCTGGGAGGCTGAGGTGGGCAGATTGCTTGAGCTCAGGAGTTTAAGACCAGCCTGAGTGATACCCCATCTCTATTAAAAATAGAAAAAATTAGCTGGGTTTTATAGCAAGTGCCTGTAGTCCCAACTACTCAGGAGGCTAAGGAAAGAGGATTGCTTAAGCCCTGGAGTTTGAGGTTGCTGTGAGCTATGGTGCCGTAGCACTCTACTCAGGGCAACAGAGTAAGACTCTGTGTCAAGAAAAAAATAAGGAAGGTCTTTTGTGAATTCTGGGAAGATAGCTGACTAGTAGCAACCCTCAGCAGAGGCTCCTGACCAGTGGGAGAAAAACTGGACAGAATCAGACTCTATAAAGCCAAAGGTGGGAAGCTGAGCCAAGAAAGAAGTTTGGCAAGCTGTGACTCCAAGGAAGAGCAACCTAGAAAACAAATTACAGGTACAAAGCGTATTGACTAGAGGATGGGAGACTCCTCCCCCAAGCTGGAGGCCCTCTGCTGGCTCTCTGCAATCGAGCAGGGAACAAAAGACCTCTCATTTTAACTCACTGGAGAGAGCCACAACACACCGGGTCTTTTTCTCCAGGGAGGTCCCCTTATGAACCCAGACACCACCCTGCCAAGCATAAGATTGAACAAATAGTTTACCCCACAATTCCAAACTCCCAGTCCACCCTATCCCCCCTTCGCATGGCAGTCTGAAGTTCTGCCGCCTGCAGAGTGCAGAGTTTTAGGTCTTTTCCTGAGAGATCTGGGCGTAGTGTGGACTGCTGGACATCAGGACAGAATCTGTGTACTAGGGAAGAAAGAGGGCATGAGAAGAAAGGGACACTCAGCAGGAGGAGGATCAGTCCCCTGGTTATGATTTTGCCCAGCCTGAGGTGGTGTTGACCCTTGGTTAGGGCTGTGTCTGGCAGGAGGGAGTGCAGAACCCTCGGCTCTGATGGTGCCCACAAGTGGGAAAGTGGTTCTTGGTGTGGACTGAGTTCCAATTTTAGTATGTGCTCTGAGAAATTGTTTTCCACGCATCAGCCACAAGTCAAGATAGATAAAATTTCTTGTTCTCTTTTGCTGCTATGTGGGAGACATAATTCACCATTTCTCTTACAGTATATACTTGTAGGGCAGAGGGAATGTATGTTGGGCATCCTTTCTCTTCAGACTCCCCACCTCATGTATGCAAAGTCTTTACTTCTGTTTCTTTGTTTACATTAAAATCCACATCCCTAGAAAATGAGAACCAACAAATTGCCAATCCCTCTCGGTCTCTAATGCTTCTTTCTCATTCTGGTTCTCAAACATTTCTTGATTACTGGCCCCTAAACATTCATTTTTTAAAAAATTATTTTATATGTTAAAAATAGTTGTTTAAGAGTTGATAATGGAAGAGTTTTTTAGTTAATTTCTTATTAAGAACTGGTAATTTAGTATAGAAAATCCAGACTATTAACCATTATTTTACCTTAAGAATGTTCTTTTGGGGGGGTTTTTTGAGACAGAGTCTCACTCTGTTGCCCAGGCTAGAGTGCCATGGCATCAGTTTAGCTCACATCAACCTCAAACTCATGAGTTCAAGTGATCTTCTTGCCCCAGCCTTTCAAATAGCTAGGACTACGGGCTCCTGCTACAATGCCCAGCTAATTTTTTTATTTTTAGTAGAGATAGGATCCTGTTCCTGCTTAGGGTAGTCTTAAACTCCTGAGCTTGAGATCTCTCCTGTGGGCCTCTCAGAGTGCTAGCATTATGGGTGTGAGCCACCACGCCTGGCCAAAAATGTTCATTTTTAAATTATGTTCTTTAAAAACATATAAAGGGCCCAATATTCTTTTACTTCAGAATACCTTACAACATATGTACTTAGGAGTTTTTAGTTACCTATCTTATAATTTACATATAACCTGCCATAATATGCTCAATTTTTTTTCTCCATTGGGACATTGTTTTGAAGGTGATACCTTTTCTCAGATAACTTTTTTTATTAATAAGTAGTTTGCTATGTGTTGTTGACAATTATTTTCTTTGATTTCCATTAAGGAGCCTTAATGTAATCTTAGGGATTTTCATAAGTATAGGCCTAAGTTTTAGGAGTCCTCCTCCCAATTTAATTGTAAAATTTTCACAGCTTTTATTTTTTTAATATGTACAGGTTGCACATTTAAATATTAAATATTTGGTTTATTGTTAACAACTGTTACGGTTTAATTCATATTGTTCCCCTAAACGTAGTTATTTGATAAAAAATAGCTATAATAAAGGTTCTGTAGTATTATATAATCTAGAAAATCAGTAATGTGGAGATTTTATTAAACTTAGAAGTTAAATTCAGTTAATGATAAAGATGTACTTATTATGAAATGTCATTGTGTATCTTAAGTAAATGTTTTTCATTTAAAATATTATTTCATTTTAATATATTACAGTAGATTAATAAAAATGTAAACTTCTTTAGGTTCAGTCCTCAGTGGCTGTTGGGACCCCCGATTATATCTCTCCTGAAATCCTTCAAGCCATGGAAGATGGAAAAGGCAGATATGGACCTGAGTGTGACTGGTGGTCTTTGGGGGTCTGTATGTATGAAATGCTTTATGGAGAAACACCATTTTATGCAGAATCTCTGGTGGAGACATATGGAAAAATCATGAATCACAAAGTTAGTGCATTTTACTTTTTTCTAAATTAATGTGGCAAATAACACTAAAATAATGTGATATTTAAAGAGGAAAAGTATTCTAAAAATAATGAATGGTCACATATCTGTGCTAACAGAATATAACAAACACAAATAGTCCAAGTCCATAAATTATACATAAAATTACTAATTCTACTTCCTGTATTTTATTAGAGATGTTAATAAATAGGAAATTAAATGGTCCCTCCAAGATCGTAAGCAGTTTATATCATTGCTTACTATAGTCATTACTAGAATACATGTAAAAAAATTTTCAACTTGAGTAATAATAAATGAAATCCAAATCAGGATAAGAATGAAACACATTTTTCTTGTCAAATTGTCAAAGATTAAAGGAAAAATAATGCTCTGTACTGTGAATAATGAAGTGAGATGAACAGTCTAAGACATTATTGAGAGGAATATAAATTGATGTAACCGCTCCATCTAAAAGTTTATAAGTGTGCATCTAGAAGCTTAAAAAATGGTCAGAACTTCGTAGTGAGCAACTTAGAGGAATCTAACCTATGAAATTTTAGGTAGAAGAAGGATGTAGAAGAAGGATGTATATACAAGGATATCTATTTTAATGTTTCTGATTATAAAACATTGGAAAGAATTCAGCTATATAATAGGAATAAATTATAAGGTTTTAATTCATTTTGTACTAAGTGAAATAGTACATAATAATAGAAAGGTTTTGATTGATCAGTCTCAGAAGATTGTGAGCAGTTGCAATAACCTAGAACAGGAATAGGAATATCTTACAGAAGGGAATGATAATCTATTTTAATGTGTTCTGATGCTACAATTATAATTACTTGCTTTGAATATATATAAATTAGTTTATAGAATTTATGCTCTTTTACCTGGTTGCAAAGATAGTGCTTCTCAAATGGTTATAAAAAGTTGAAAGACTAGAAAATAGCTGGAAGGTTGTAAGTAGCATGCAGCATTTCAGAAAGAAATCAGTCATCAATACCAGTAAAACATGGTATTATACAGCGCTGGTTTCAGAATCACAGACAGCTTCAAGTTGCAGTTCTGCCATTTACTGGTTTTTGTGAAGTTTTGAAAATGACTTGAATTCTCTTTGCCTTTATTTCTTCTTCTATAAAATTAGTATAAACTAGTACCCACCTAAGATGATTATTGTGAGGATTAACTGAATTAAATAAGTAAAATACTTTAAATAGTCTCAGATACATATTAAATCCTTTCAAATGTTTATTATTATCAGTGAATTATTAGCATATTACTTATGAACATTATCAATCATCTACATTCTGTTGAAAAATTTAGTCAAATTCTACTTGTAATCATATATAGCAGCTTAAAGTGTTTTAGCATTTCATTTATTCTTTTGTAGTGAATTATGATTAAGTCATATATGGAATTAAAATTCTTTTAGCAAAATGATCTTTTCTCATTCATGTCTATGTTGATTTAGTATCAGTACTTTGTACCAGGGTACACTTATTAAACGTTGTCAAAAGAGAATGTATTTTGGAGAAAGTAAGTCAACCAGTTTACTAAGTTAAAAACTAATTATATTTTGTTTCTGCTGTTGTCTGTTTAGGAGAGGTTTCAGTTTCCAGCCCAAGTGACTGATGTGTCTGAAAATGCGAAGGATCTTATTCGAAGGCTCATTTGTAGCAGAGAACATCGACTTGGTCAAAACGGAATAGAAGATTTTAAGAAACACCCATTTTTCAATGGAATTGATTGGGATAACATTCGGAACTGTGAAGCACCTTATATTCCAGAAGTTAGTAGCCCCACAGATACATCGAATTTCGATGTGGATGATGATTGTTTAAAAAATTCTGTAAGTATGACATTGACATTCTTTTCCTCTGTTCTTTTTATGTGGTTATAAAGTAATTTTTTGGTTTGCAAGTATTTTGCTAGGATAGTATAGTTATCAGTTATCACACAGTTATCATGGTTTTTAGTGCTTTTTCTATCATAAATCAAGAAATTAAGAGAGTTAACTAAGGTGTACTTCATTGTTCATGACCAAGAGCAAAAATAAAATTCCAAGTTTTACTTCGTAGGTAAGTTATACCCTTGGTTTCCTAAGAGGATGAGTTAAAATCAGGGATGTCCATCCCTTTTTTTTTTTTTTGGCTTCACATTGGAAGAATAGTAAGAGTTATCCTGGGGCACACATTAAATACACAAACACTAGGAAAAGCTAATGACCTCTCCCCTAAAAAAGTCTGTGAATATTTTTTACGACATCTGACACCACAGATAGGTAAAAGAATCCTCAAATAATCTGCATATACTCTGCAGGCCACAGGTTGGGCACTCCTTAATAGATAGTTAAAAAAAGTGGATTTCTTGTTTACAAAGTGAAGAGCTTAGCAAATGTCTCCCCAAAATTATCCCTGGAACTGGACATTGTCAAAACAACCATTTCAGACATGATGGGAAATAGATCTGAAGGGAAATAGAGAAACATTTATTCATGAAAAACGGCCAAACTTGGGTTAAAATCATGTATATCTCATACCTTTTTTCCTACCACCAGCTTGGTTGAGATAGTAGTACTGGTAATATGGAAGTGGATGTAAAAACCAGCAATTTTATTGTTAAATACTAACTAATATTGCTAAATATTTAATCCCAATGGTATTGCTGCTAAAAATAGCAATCTTTGGAATTGTAATGCCAAATCCACAGTCTTACCAACCTGAGGTTATATCACCATTTAAGGTGAATGACAGGGAAGTGGATCAGCCAACTATTTTTAGCTTGTGAACCATGCTAAGATGGGCTAGAATAGTGCATCAATCTCTGCTGTACACCATTAAGTTATATTAAATTAAAATTTAGGGGGCGGCACCTGTGGCTTAAAAGAGTAGGGTATGGGCTCCACATACTGGAGGTGGTGGGTTCAAACCCAGCCCCAGCCAAAAACTGCAAAAAAACAATTATGAAAATAACATAATTTGTTTTTTGTCTTGTAAGCTTTGTTAATTTGAAATTTTATTTTTATTCAATTACCTTATTTCCTAT